CCAATGCCAGACCCTTTTCTGGGGTTGTGTCAGTGGAGACCGAAGTCCCATCCACGGACATCAGCTCAAGCTGCAGTTGTGAGGTGCCGATTGCATCCTCTTCCTGTAGCTCCTACAGTGCTGATTGTTGTGGGCAGAGGTCAACAACGCCATGCCCTGATGCCAGCTCTTCTGCTGGAGGCACGTCGGCTGGTTCCTCCTCAGCAGAAAAGTTAATCAAATCCCCAGTCTCTGGAACTGGTGTCTGGGGATAGGGGGTTCACCATCTCCTGTCCGTGGAACCCAGAAGATGTTACCAGTGCTAGTCAGAGTTCAGCAATGTTTGGCTCTGTTGCCAGCTCTTCTGCTGGAGGCTCACCAGGTTGTTTTTCCTCAGCAGAGAAGTCAATCAAATCCCCCAGTCTCTGGAACTGGTGTCTGGGGATAGGGGTTCACCATCTCCTCTCCGTGGAACCCAGAAGATGTTAACAATGTTGGGCAGAGGCTAGCAGAGCTCTGCCCTTTTGTCAGCACTTCAGGTCTGGGGATGGCAATCTCTGAAATTTTCCACTGCCGTTTCTTGGGCATGCTGCTAAACATGTTTTAGCAGTTGCCTGTATGCCCTTTCCAGATACTGCTCTTTCATCAGCAGGTATTCCAGATCTGGTTCAAGCTCTGAGACCCCTGTGAGACCGAACATAGCCTTTCTGTCTTCTCGCAGGTCCTCAAGAGTAGGTTCTCCTTCATCGCCAAACACAAAATGATCTGTAAGGCTCTCCCATAGCAATCCAGGGCCACCAAAGTCATATCCCCTCCATAGAGCATTCTGTTGTCACCCCTAAATATTTCTGCTCTGCGTACCATTGCAGAGCCTGATATCGGTTATCCAGCTCTATCTCCTGCTGGACCAGCCTGTCCAACTCAGTCACCCATTGCTCCTGGGGTTGCTCTCCCAGGAATGGCATCCGTAACTCCCGTTGGCCCCTGGCCCATTCCTCTGGGGTCGGATAGCACTTGCCCTTGTATATACCAGCAACCTGGAGGGCTCCACTCCAAAGCACCACCCAAATCCGCTGCCTGAGCTCCAGGTACTCATCCGCAGACACAGTCCTGGAGTATGTTGCAAGAACGATCCGCAGCAGCCTTGGAAACTCTGATGCCAGGTCCATATCCCCAGTTGGGTTGACCTACATCTACTTTCCTGATCTTGAATCCCGGCAGTGGTTTGGACCCTTTTCACAGCCAGGAAGCACAATCCCACCACTTTCACACCAATGTAATGGAACCGACCCAGACTGCGCTTGGGTACTTCCATTAGAATACCGCTTCCCCTTCCGAACACTGACAACAGACCCCACAGCCGACCATACAAGAATAGACAACACCAGTCTTGACGTAAACCAGGAGGCAGACTAGTTTATTTGAACACAGATACAAGATATATACACTCAAGGGACATAATAGTTTGTTCCCAAACCAGACAAACAATAGAACAATGGGATGCAGCCACATGACATTAAACAATCAAGAACCCCCCACCCCAATATTAAGACAGATCACCCTGTACCCCTAACAGGCACAGGGTGATTGACACATAAGAGGGATATGGGGAGCTGAGACAGGGGTCTCCCCACCTCTCCAAAGTGAGCTGGGTTCCATGGGCCCCCCACCCAAAGTGACTCCTGTCACACAGTGTTAACACACTTTGAATGCCAATTGCACGGTCATGCAACACTATACCCATATTAATTTTTAAGCATTTTTTTGAGACAGATAAAAACATTATTTTGGTGGTATTTTATTCACCGCTTTTTTTTTTCTTCAAATAAAATGTTGCAAATAAATAATATTTCTTCATAAATCGTGGCCAAAATATATTCCACTATCTTTTTAGTTAAAAAAAAAAAATATAACCAAACTAGTTTAACCAAAAATTATGAATTTTTCAGAATTTTTTTTTTTTAACATACTGTCACCCATAGTGACACTGTGCTACTTGTGGGGGGTGATGAAGTTTTTTTTTTTTTTACACTGATTGCTTTTACATCCATACAGGCTGTAAATGCAATCATTTCTCCTTCTCTCTGCCTGCATTCTTGCAGCCATTGAGAAATACTGTGCGAGCTGTGATTGGTTACAGTTTTTCAAATGGTATAAGGGCTGTTGTGAATAGCCCTGTACCATGTGACCTCGGTGATCATTCACAGATTTCACAAGTAGTAAGCAATGATGTCAGGAAGTGACATCTTGTTTACTACTATTCATGTAATCACTGATTGGCAAATCAGCGATCACATGAATCGGGACCTCACACAGAGGTCCCGTACAGTGATCGGTGTTCCGGATTGTGGTACTGCTCGCTCCCAGGGAGCGCATTGAATGTGGGGGCACTGCTCCCGGCTGGCCTTTATGTACATGGGCCGGACGGGAAGTGGTTAAAGGACTAAGGCTGTGCGCCACAAATAGCCAGTGGTCTGGGAGACCCACACCAGCAGAGGTACTGCTGACCAGCAGTGCTAATGAGTAGCCAGAAGGCTTAACATTTTTCATGTGGATTTACAACTAGAGAAGAACCCTTGGATGGAAAAGCTTATTTTGGATTTTTGTGTTTTTGTTTCTCGCCTTTTAATAAAAGTGGGCTACCAAGCCTGAACAAGAGTTTGACTAGCGTGGACTGACTTGGAAAGCATCTACCACTAGAGCTAATCATCCCCCATGTCACTATATATATATATATATATACATACAATATCCCCCAGAAGTGAGACCCCACCTCACATTTTTGTAAATATTCTATTCTATCTTTTCATGTGACAACACTGAAGAAATGACGCTTGGCTACAATGTGACGTAGTCAGTGTACAGCTTGTATAACATGGAAATTTGCTGTCCCTTCAAAATAACTCAACACACCGCCATTAATGTCTAAACCGCTGGCAACAAAAGTGAGTCCACCCCTAAGTGACAAGGTCCAAACTGGGCCCAATTAGCCATTTTCTCTCCCCAGTGTCATGTGACTCGTTACTGTTACAAGGTCTCAGGTGTGAATGGGGAGCGGGTGGGTTACATTTGGTGTTATCGCTCTCACTCTCTCATACTGGTCACTGGAAGTTCAACATGGCACCTCATGGCAAAGAACTCTCTGAGGATCTGAAAAAAATAATTGTTGCTCTACATAAAGATGGCCTAGGCTATAAGAAGATTGCCAGACCCTGAAACTGAGCTGCAGCATGGTGGCTAAGACCATACAGCGGTTTAACAGGACAGGTTCTACTCAGAACAGGCCTCGCCATGGTCGACCAAAGAAGTTGTGTGGTGGCAACCAGGTGAGGATAGTACAAAGACAAGTGTGTCTTGCCTACAGTCAAGCATGGTGGTGGGAGTGTCATGGTCTGGGGCTGCATGAGCGCTGCCGGAACTGGGGAGCTACAGTTCATTGAAGGAACCATGAATGCCAACATGTACTGTGACATAGTGAAGCAGAGCATGATCCCCTCCTTTCGGACATTGGGCTGCAGGGCAGTATTCAAACATACCGACCCCAAACACGCCTCCAAGACAACCATTGCCTTGCTAAAGAAGCCGAGGGTGAAGGTGATGGACTGACTAAGCATGTCTCCAGACCTAAACCCTATTGAGCATCTGTGGAGCATCCTCAAACAGAAGGTGGAGGAGCGCAAGGTCTCTAATGAGAAGCATCAGGATCCATCTTCTGTGCCGGGTCTGTCGAGTCAGCGGGAATCATGATTGATGATGGATTTACAAGAGGGAACATTTTTGGTGATTGTTATCTTTTTAATAAAGAATTTGTAAAATGTTTGGATGTCTTTTTTTTTTCTAGATTACTTTGTCCTTTTTTGTGAAGGACTGGGGGAACTATGTACCCCATACTCATTCAGGAGGGGCAGTATCTGGGCCCCTTATTAATAAAAGTGGCTTTAGATTCTGGTATGACCCCAGATCACAAACCCCTAAAAACCACCAGGCCAGGGCTGTAGGGAAGAGACTCTTGTCTTCATCAACATCAGGACAAAATGCCTTGCCAGGGGTGTTGCCTTGGTATGGTAGGTGTGGTATAGTTCAGGAGGGGGGCTCACCTCATTCCTGGCCAACCAGTATGCAAGCTCAAATAAAAGTATGGTATAAATGTGAGGGGGGGGGCATGACAGTCAATGGATCTTACTGGGAGTGGAGAAAATTAAATAGAGGCACAGTTTTTTTTTCACAAAGAAGCAGAGGCAGAAGCAGATGGAACAGAATCAGGTGAAGCTGGAATTTGACTTCAGTGACCCATATCTATCAGCAAGCTAATGATTGACTGCTCGTTCCTGATAGGTTAAACATTTAGCTTTTTTGTTCAATGTTAATTAGTGTCACGGACTGCCAGCGCCTCTCCCATCCCCCACCATATCCCTCCACCCCTCCCTTCCCCCTTGTACATTGCAACCTAGCTGCGTCACACATGATCTTCAAGAGACCCACACAGGAAGCAGCCCTTCTTTTTTTTGTTCCTGTCCATGCTGCTGGAATCATCTTGCTCCCACAAAGATGCTGGGAGGCTCGGGTGAGGGGGACCGAGTCTCCCCAGTCATCCCCCCTGTGCACTCTGCAGACCCCCAAAAGGTCAGGACTGTAGCCCTCTGCAATACCCCAGGGTTGGGAGTCTCCACAGCTTTGCATGAGCCTTCCCCTCAAAGGTCAGACCCCACAGCTGAGACCCTGCCAGTCTGTAAGCCTGTCTACTGGGCACCCTTGCACCCTGTCTGCTGCTGAGTGCCTTGGGAGCTGCTGCTGAGGGACCCTGCACACTATCCGTGGCTGCGTGTCTCTGGAAGCTGTCTGCTGCTGAGTGCCCTGGGAGCTGCTGCTGAGGGACCCTGCACACTGTCCGTGGCTGTGTGTCCCTGGAAGCTGCCTGCTGCTGAGTGCCCTGGGAGCTGCTGCTGTCTGCTGATCCCTGGTTGTCCCTGGAACGCTGACCGCTGGTTGTCCCTGTCTGGAGCCGCCTGCCGCTGAGGGTCTGCCAGCTGCTTACCGTGAGTGTCCTGAACTGTCCCCGCTGTGTGCACCGACCACCCGTGTTCTGAACTGTCCCCGCTGTGTGCACCGACCACCCGTGTCCTGAACTGTCCCTGTTGTGCGCACTGACCACCTGTGTACTGAACTGTGCCTACTGTGTGCACCGACCACCTGTGTCCTGAACTGTGCCTGCTGTGTGCACCGACCACCCGTGTTCTGAACTGTCCCCGGTGTGTGCACCAACCACGTGTGTCCTGAACTGCCCCCCGCTGTGTGCACCAACCACCCATGTTCCGAACTGCCCCGCTTTGTGTGCACTGACCACCTGTGTCCTGATGGCATGCACAGAGTATAGCTACCTGTGGTGCCCCTGAGTGCTTGAGCCATCGCTACCCGTTGAGTCCCCGTGAACCCAATGACCCTAGAAAGCTGGGTGGGAGCTGTGCTGTGGCCAGTCTCCACAGCTAGAGTCCTGTTGAGTCCCTGAGGCCCCTGCCCAGTGGTAGGTTGCCGCCTGTTGCCCGAGGCCCCTGCCCCAGTGGTAGGTTGCCGCCTGTTGCCCGAGGCCCCTGCCCAGTGGTAGGTTGCCACCTGTTGCCCGAGGCCCCTGCCCAGTGGTAGGTTGCCGCCTGTTGCCCGAGGCCCCTGCCCAGTGGTAGGTTGCCGCCTGTTGCCTGAGGCCCCTGCCCAGTGGTAGTTTGCCGCCTGTTTCCCAAGCCCCTGCCCAGAGGTAGATTGCCGCCTGTTGCCCGAGGCCCCTGCCCAGTGGTAGGTAGCCGCCTGTTGCCTGAGGCCCAGTGGTAGGTTGCCGCCTGTTGCTCGAGTCTCCAATCCGCTATCCAGTCACAGAGGGAGCTCGGCTGAGGTCCCAAGCCTAGGGGGGAGACTGCCTGCCTGTCGCTGAAGACCCCCCGTGCCTGGAATTGTCCCTGGTTTGCGCACACATCACCCTCCCTGCCATTTCCCCATTGAGTGTCTGTCCTTTTGTTGCTTCAATAAAGCTTTGTGTGTTCCCCATCTTCTCCGTGTGCTCTGTCCTGCCTGCGCTTCCGTTACAATTAGGGTTCTTTCTTTTTTTTTTTATTCATGTATTTATTTATGCTTTTGTGTGATTTGAGGATGGAGTGGATTTTCTTTTGGGGCAATTAGTTTGGAGGTTGTGTATTCCTAACCCCTTCACGCAAAACTCCCACAAATACTCACAGAACTGGGCTTTTTTCTGTGGGGCCGCATATTTATGTACCTGTCTTTGTGCTGGGAGTGTGTCGCACAGCGTGCTCCCAGCACAAAGACCAGGGTGTCACTGAGAGCTCTGGGACCTGTTCTAACGATCAGGACCCGGGACTCCTGATTCTGGGTCTCATGATCTCTGTGATAGCCTCTGATCAGTCACTGTGAAGCCTGCCCCCCTTGTTTTTTCCTCTTTGAATGGAGGAGAGAAATACATTGTATCTCTATCTCCTTGCAGAGAGAAAAAAAAAACTAAATATATATTAAAAATTACCTAGATCAAGGTTTGATCTAGTTCTGTTCCAGGGTTAGTATTTAGGTCAAAGGTCAGGATTTTTTTTATTTTTTATAAATTGGTGTTACTGTCAGTGTGTTTTAGGTAAAATAAACAAAACACAAAATTTGTACTATTGCTTCCAGGCTGTACTCCGGGTACAAATAACAAATAACACACATATATGGTATCGCTGTGATCATCAAGAGCTGGAAAATTTATTTTGGGTTGCTCTTTGGTGGTAGGTTATGGTAGTAACAAGAAACACACAGCTAAATTTAAAAAACATTTTTTTTTTTTTTTACTATTTTGGGCCAGTTTTCCTTTGATAATAAAAAAAAATAGGAGATATCCATTACCATTTACCACCAAATGAAACCCCAATTTGCCCTGAAAAAAAACGCGGTATAATTCACCTGGATGTACCAAGTAGCTGTGAAAATGTGAACGGTTTTTACTAACGCATGTCAAAGTTGAAACATTTTACTTAGGCTTTAAGATTTGTTTTACCCTCAGGTGTGAAGGGGTTTAAAAGGATCTTTTTGACTTAGTCTGGGGTGATTAGAGCCCAGTATCGCCTGTTACTGATCATCAATTAGTGAAATATTTCTCAGCACCCCAGTAGCTATAATAACAGTGTATACAAAACACTTCATACCACACCACGCATTACCCCCCCCCCCCCCAAAAAAAAAAAAAATTAGCTAGGCTCTAGTGAGAAAGGCAATAATATATCAGACTGCACTTGGATTTTGATAAAGAAAGGACAGGACAGTAGGGATGAGTTGCCAGTTTGGTTATAGAATCCCCATGATGTCATTGACCAGATGTAGTCATGTTCATGGTTGGCCAGTAACTTCACCCAGGAGACCCCGTCACTTAGCCTACATTCCCTGTCAGGGACCAGCAACTATCATTTGCACCAGGAGCAGTCATCAGGAGTGGATTGTTCCAATGGTCATCTGATTATGGGCATCATTCATCGTGATTGATGAGGATCTGCATCACTGAATAATGTGTATGATGATGAATTTACAGTTGCAAGAAAAAGTATGTGAACCCCTTGGGATTACGTGGAGTTTTGCATGAATTGGGCATAAAATGTGCTCTAAACGTCATCTAAGTCACAACAATAGAAGAACACAGTCTGCTGAACATAATACTACACAAACATTAGATGTTGCCATGGTTTCATTGCACATAACATGTGAACATTCACAGTGCAGGGAGGAAAAAGTATGTGAACCTTTGGACTTAATAACTGGTTGACCCTCCTTTGGCAGCAATAACCTCAACCAAACGTTTCCTGTAGTTGCAGATCAGACCTGCACAACGATCTGGAGTCATTTTGGACCAGTCCTCTTCACAAAACTGTTTCAGTGTAGCAATATTCTTGGGATGTCTGGTGTGAATCGCTCTCTTAAGGTCATGCCACAGCATTTCAATCGGGTTGAGGTCAGGACTCTGACTGGGCCACTCCAGAAGGCGTATTCTGTGCTGTTGCAGCCATTGTTTTGTTGAATTACTTGTATGCTTTGGGTCATTGTCCTGTTGCATCACCCATCCTCTGCGGAGCTTCAGTTGGCGGACAGATGGTCGTACGTTTTCCTGCAAAATGTCTTGATAAACTCTGGAATTCATTTTCCCATCAATGACAACAATCCATCCAGATCCTGAGGCAGCAAAGCAGCCCCAAACCATGATGCTCCCTCCGCCATGTTTCACAGTGGGGATGAGGTTTTGATGTTGGTGTCCTGTGCCATTTTTTTCTCCACACTTAGTGTTGTGTGTTCTTCCCAAACAACTCAATCTTGGTTTCATCTGTCCACAGTATATTTTGCCAGTAGTGCTGTGGAACATCCAGGTGCTCTTTTGCAAACTTCAAACGTGCTGCAATATTCTTTTTGGACAGCAATGGCTTCCTCCGTGGTGTCCTCCCATGTACTCCATTCTTGTTTCATGTTTTCCTTATTGTAGATGTGTCAACAAAAATGTTAGCATGTGCCAGAGATTTCTGTAGGTCTTTAGCTGACACTCTGGGATTCTTCTTTACCTCATGCAGCATTCTGCGCTGTGCTCTTGCAGTCATTTTTACAGGACGACCACGCCTAGGGAGAGTAGCAACAGTGCTAAACTTTCTCCATTTGTAGACAGTCTGTCTTACCGTGGACACATGAACATCAAGGCTTTTGGAGATACTTTTGTAACCCTTTCCAGCTTCATGCAAGTCAACAATTCTTGATCATAGGTCTTCTGAGAGCTCTTTTCTGCGAGGCACGGTTCACATCAGACAGTGCTTCTTGAAACCAGTAAACCCAACACAGGTGTGTGTTTTTTAAGGGCAGGACAGCTGTCAGCAACACATCCAATATCATCACACTGATTGGAGTCAAGGTTGGCTCACTCCTGGCTCCAATTAGCTCTGGGAGAAGTCATTAAGCTAGGGCCTCACATACTTTTTCCTCCCTGCACTGTGAATGTTTAAATGTTATGTGCAATGAAACCATGGCAACATGTAATGTTTGTGTAGTATTATGTTCAGCAGACTGTGTTCTTCTATTGTTGTGACGTTCAGAGCACATTTTATGCCCAATTCATGCAAAACTCCACGTAATCCCAAGGGGTTCACATACTTTTTCTTGCAACTGTATTTTCCAGGTTTTTGAGGAAAAAACTGACAGAGTGACAGCTGTCATTCCAGGGGCAGTAATGACTATGTCATTTTTTCCTCTGAAACCTGCAAAATATATAACCAGCATGGGAATCTTTCCAATTTAATAGCATACAGCAGCAGCCCTGAAAGGAAGGGACTTTTCTCCCGAAAAGCATTGCTTTGATGTACTTTGTCATTATTCTAAATAAATGCCTCTTTACCTACCATCAAAAGTGCAAGGCATTTGCCTAGGACGGCATTTTTTCAGGGGGGCAGCAGCAATTTTCAGGGGGACAGAGCCGCCCTCTGAAAGAAGGGATGAAAGAAAGGACACATGCAGCATGGGGACCAGGTGGGATCTGAGAGGCTGTGGGCTGCTTGATGGTGTATGCAGAGACTGACTCTTGTTCCTGGGATGTCTGGAGCTGTGAAGGTGAGTGTCTTCTCTCTCACTGGGGTGGGGGAGGTTGCCCACTGTATGGGGGGCGGTGGTAGTGGAAGGTTCACTTGGGTGGGGGGTGTTGTTGGTCATTGTCAGGCTCTCATCGAGGGGGAGGGGGATGTTTTGTCAGTGTCAGGGTCTCTCCGTAGGGGGGATAATTTTTGTATTGCCTAGGGCAGAACGAAACCTAAATACTCCACTACTTCAACCATCCCATCCCTACTATAAACAGTAACAATACTAACCCCTCCCACACCCAGATAACCTATATCCCCCCACCAGCATACCTGTCTTCCCCAAATATTATACAATTAAATTAAAACTAAAATAGTCTAGCGCCAAAAAAAAAAAAAAACACCCAAAATGCTCCATGCACACTGGGCTTCCAAATAGCCAGTTCCCTTGGCAGAGAATAAATGCTGATAGAGATTTTAATGTTCTGCCAGAAAGCTCCAATCAAAAACACACACCAGACGGGTATGTTTTTCCTGTCTCTAAACTTTGAGCTTAACCTCCCTAGCGGTCTGATGATGTCAGTATTTCTGTGCTCAAAGCGGTACTTTGTTTTCCATGGAAATATGTATTTTTTTTATTGTCGGCCTGTAATTTTTAGGAATAACTCACTGAAATCTGTCCGAACAAGAGTCTAGTAAACATTCCGGGGATGATAAAACTTGAAACACGAAATCATAAATTATAATTTAATAAATAATCATAAAAAAATATTAATATATTAATAAATGTAATTCAATAATATAATCAAACCAAAAACACTGAAATGTGAAATATAACGCCAAGTTCGCACATCGCTGAGCTCAGTCGCAGAATCGTTTTCAGTGTCTGATGATGAATTTCCCCCACCAATCATTATCACTCAATTCTGCAAGTGGTTCTGATTTACTATCGCTGTTCTCTAGCCGGTCTAAAACCGCGTCTGACCTAAAGGGATGCTTTTTGGACGCCATGGA